TATTTGCACAGATAATGGCAGGGCCTGCTCGGTTTGTTTTTCTGGGCGCTTCCCATTTGACAACCAGACACACATCCACTTTTGCACACGCCCATTTGGCTGCATAATTAAATTTAGCACTGACAGCCTGGGGGCAGCAGCATAGGCGTGGCTGTGTGGCATGTAATGAACATCCCAGGCTCTGGATGCATGATAGTGCATCGACTGCAAACCAGCCTGCTCAAGTGTGGAGCAGGCGAAGTCAAGTCAATCAATCGCCTCGGTATCATTACCGCTTACATATAGAGTATATTAATTGTTCCACTTAGTTGGCAGCTTAATGGAAAAACGTCATTTGCCTTTTAGCTGCTCCAGCCAAGTCAGCAGGCTGGCCGTCTAGTGTTTATCAGCCTCTCCATAGATAGAAGATGTCCTTTCTGGCAGCAAGAGTGTAAATTCTTGGCACGATGTGCACATTTTTCACATTTTCTATTTAACTTGGGAGCTGTTTTTATTTTTTTTTCCTGCTGATCGGAATTTTGACGCTAAGCTCTGTCATCAGACATAGAAATTTACTGGCACCCCGGGCAGAAATTGATTTTCTGCATTGTCCCTTGCGCTAAATTACATAACGTGTCCCTCAAAATTCGTCCAGTTTACTGTCCTAACGTTTGTCAGCTGGTAAAATTTAAATTTAATCAATAAATCAAGTAGTTACACACTCAGGCAAATAAACCACGATACAATAAGGCTGTCTCAGCTGTCTATGCTGCAATTATAGTTGCTGCTTTGTTAGCCTTAATTTGTGGTTAACACAACTTGAGCCAGGACAATAATTTGAGTCACCAGTGCCTCAAATGTTGTTGTCTCTTGCGTGTCCTTACACAGAAGACCACATATATTTGGTTACTGGCGCAGCTGCAACTGACAACTATTATTAACGAAGCAAAATCCACAGTTCTGACTGGCAATGCATTGTCGTCAGTGAATTGCCGAAATTCCGAGACAGTTGACATGAAATTGGCCAAAATATGCCGTGTGTATGGCTTTTACCGCAATTAGCCTGAGCATCCTATAATCATTATTATTTCGTTGAGCCTTATGTATTCGGTGGTTGTCCTGCTTTGTGATACGAACACGCCCGACTCAACACGTCCCGTTCTCCTTATAACAAACAAAACAATCAACCACGCTGATACTGAACTGAATACATATAAATAGTTTGCTTTTAATAAAAACTACTTTCTGTTAGTTGTAGTTGAATAGACATCGCAGGCTTGGCTATGCAATGTCAAATATTTGAACCAGCATATAAATATATTATATTATTCATTTTTTCTGGCAAATAGTTTTTGACTGTTGCTGAATTTCATTTTAGTTTAACAACACTTGCAAAAATAAGTGCATAAGCTAAGCAAATATTCTAAAAAGGCAGGGCACAATTGTCAATAAAATGTTCACTTTAGCTTACTAGATGTACAGAAAAATATACTGATACAAATTATATATTCGATAAATTCAAGTAAATAACTTTCTACAGTCTTTGGTTAATATCAAGGTCAGTTGGGTATCAATTGTCAGCTTTGACTCTTAATATGATACCATTAGACATTTTCCGATGCTATCAAATTGAGGGCCATTAGACAAATAACATGACTTGGCATGTATTGGCAGGGATTAGGCCATGACTGTCCCACCCGAAAATTGTATTAATTAAATGTGAATGAAAACAATTAAATAAATGCACATAGCCGAAGCAAAGCAATTATTCAATCCAGTCTGTGTCAGTTGAGCAGGGTCCAAAATGCAAAAACAAAGGGAACTTAAATGCTGTATGTGTCAAATCACACACACACACACACTTAAGCAATCAATCAATGAGCCTGACAATCAATCAAGTAGGCAGACACAATAGACTTAGCCGTATGGGCGTCTTGGAGATAAGGTGACAAATGCAAAATCAAATGGATCAGAAGTAAAGTATCCAAAGTACAAAGTGATCTAAGCGAGACTTCATTGTTTTGGCCGAGTTACAATTACAGCTGGTCAATTATTGAAAAAAAGCGGCCCAAATGACCCACGTAAGCTCGCAGCGATACGAGTGATTAGGGACTTGGCTTAGTTTCGATTTAAATGTATCTGCTGGCCCATATTGCCTTTTGCTGTTAACAGTGTGTCGAAGCGAGTAGGAACGCGCACATTCGACTACCAAATACCCTGTAGTACCCTCAGTCATAAAATATGGATCACACTATTAGAAATTCAATGCCTACTAACTTTTATGTTTTCTGTTCGAATTATGTATTAGTTAGAATCTTAATGATATGTAGTTTCCGCCGCGTTCTTACTGATGGATAAACGTTCCTGGCAAAATCACCTTGGCTTGTCCTCCTGATCAAGAATTTTTATACTTTATGTGGTCAGACATGCGTCCTTTTGCCCGTTACATAAATTTTGCATAAACAATATACCGTATTTTACGCATTTTTACAGGGTATACCAATATGCACACAGACATACACACACCCACACACATACAGCGACTGTTAATGGCATTTTGGCGGGCATAATTACAATTTGACTCAATTTCCGTTTGAAGCTTTTGATGATTTTATTGATTTTGTGAAGTCACGCAACTTCCTTGATGGCCAGCACGTCGAATGCCGCCGCAAGTCCTCTGGTCTGTACCTGTATATTCTCTTGAAAGTAATTGCCAGAAATCATCAATATTTAACAGCTCTTGTAGAGCTGCAGATACACACACACTCACAGAGCCATGCATCTATGCATATTTTCAATTAGGTCGTCGCACATGACGCAGAAGAGAAAGGCTGGCTGGCCAGTTGGAGTAGGAGGAGGGGCTGTCTACAAGTAGCTGCTGCTGCTGACTAAGCACAATGACAACGTCATGAAGTTTAAGTGAGTTTTAAAAGTCTGGTGAGACTGGCATGACTCACATGTGTGTCTCTATACATATTTACAATGCTTGATGTAAGCAGGAGGAAGGGGTATGATAGGTGGGGGAAAGGCTTGAAGAGACTATTTTGCGCTCCATTTTCGCAGAGTTAACGACTTAGTCATGCTGTTAGCCACTACTTAAACTTATTGGATTTGCCGGTTAACAAACTATGCGTTTACCACTCGTAATTAGCCGCTCGATGCGGTGTAAGTAATTAATGCTTGCCACAGCACTTGCAGTTATGCAACAAACAGCGCAAAGCGCTAGTGGGGCACTGAAGAATTGATTGGAAAAGGGGCACGTGACAGAGAGTTCACCGTTAAAATGATTACGCTGAACTTGACATATCCACACCGGTTGGCAGATGCCATGACGTGTGCCAGTGAGAAAGAATCTGTTGCATATTTTAAAGCTGACAGCCAGCCTGTACACACACAACCAGTGCTGAGAGTCGCCCTTGTTGCCTTTGGCACTGCATGTGTCCATTCTGAGCTGACCAAGCCCCGGGCACGCGATGCACACACTCGCACACGTTTAGCTGAAAGTATATACATATACAAGGACTTTTTGGGACCTAACAACAACATTAACGCCACTTGCACCGTGGCCTGGCAATTTTTGAATACACTTATTCAGCTCAGCGCAATGGGTTGTGCTACGCCCAGTTCTTAGCCCGCACGCAACTGGGCGGGCACAGTAGAAACGAGAACTATAAGTGTGTTAATAATGCCCCGAGCATTGTGAATTATTTACGAGTACTTATATTTGGTTATGCAATTGCTATGCCACAAACAAGACACTGAATAAGAAGTGGGGAAAAAGGAAAGAAGGAAACAGTGAAATAGCATTCAAGTAAACGGACTTAAATAGTTTAATGTTAGCTACCAAAAACTTGAGAAATATACAAAATGCAGAGCCCGAGGGATCTACGAATATGTATATAGAATAATGCCCATTTAGCAAGAGAATGAGCAAGCCGAAATGGCGTTTGAGTACAAAACTTTAGCGACAGCTGCAAAACTTTGACAAAGTTGCACAACATCAACACAGTAGCAAGAACAACAATAACAGCAAAAATGAGAGTGAAGCTGTGTGGATGCGCAGCTTAGTCAGGAACTAGAACTAGAGGCGGAGCCAACATATGTCAAAGTTTGGTAATTTTAAAGTATTTTTTGTTGTTGCCTGTGGGCATGCATGATATTTGGCAAAAACCGCAGCGATAGACTCAAGTGTACACTTGACTGGTGCTGGCCCAGAGTGCACTGCCGAGATTTGCCTGCAGGCGAGCTAGCCACGGTCAACAATGGGTTGCTTGCCCTTGCCGCCCCGGCATTAATCCATTAAAAACTTCGTTGTGGGCTGTGGATGGCAGCTGCAACTTCATTTAAAGTGAATTTTCATTTGTTAACCCAAACCTAGAGCCAATCTTAGCCTTTCCCTGAAAATCAAAGTTGTACATAGTTGCTGTTGCTGGCGTGTGACATCATCAACATCACGTGCCCGCCTGGCTACAGTTCTGCTCGGTACAGTTGCCTCGAAGTACTCTTTGCATGACTCCCCTGAATCGACCCCTCGCTGGCCAGCTCTTGTCGCCTGCACACGAGAAATTCAGTGTGACGTGACAGTGGCAGAAATTGCAGCTGTTGTGGCGTGGAACGTCCACAGAAACAGTAAAGCAAAAATTCAACTACGTAACGAAATAATTATTGCATAGTTTGTGGGCCAAGTCTTGCGCAATTTGGCCAAAATGTCAACGATAAGAGTCGTCAGTTTGATTGAAGCTCGCCAACGCTGCAGTAGTTCGCCGAGCACTTGTAGTCTTAACAAAGCAGTGACTGCAAAATTGGCTTAATGAATGCAAAGCAAAATCTTTTAGCGCCGCTTAAGTGGGCGTGTCCGTTTGGGCGTGCAGCGACTAGCAACTAGCAGAGGCAGCTGCAACTAGAATTTGCCTAATTTATGCTGCGACGCGTTGCACTTTAGTTTCGCATTTGAATTAAGCTCTGTGCATAAATTAGCAGCATGGCAACTAAATGGAAAACTTTCATTGTTTGCTTTTCAGGAAAATGGAAGATCAGTTCCTGATGTTACCGCCAGTCCGGGCCGTGCGCCGCCCGGCCCGCTGCCCGCCAATCAGCAGCCCGGCATGGGCAACCAACAGCAGCAGCACCACCATGCCAACCAGCAGCAGCAGCAACAGCATCATGGTAACCAGCAACAGAACCGCGGCCAGAGCGGCAATACAAACGGCTCTGGCGGCGTTAAGGATCCGGTGCTGCTCCAAGGCGACTTTCGCAAGGTCAGCGGGATCAGCTCGGAGATCTTTCGACAGATAGAAGCCGTCGAGAACGATCATGATCCGAATACCGCTGCAGCGCTGGAGGCAGTGGAGCGGCGCGGGGAGATGATTGTACGCATCTTGGAGCCACGCTCCATGGGCAGCAAACAGGCTGTGGATGCGGCACATAAGCTGATGAACAAGGCCGATGGCCGGCACACCGTGCAACTGGTGGAGATTGTGAAGCGGCCCGGCCAAACACTCGGCCTGTACATACGTGAAGGCAACGGCGCCGATCGCACCGATGGCGTCTTCATATCCCGCATAGCCCTTGAGTCGGCAGTCTACAACAGCGGCTGCTTAAGGGTAAGAATCTATGTTTATGCTATCTACGGGTTAATTATATTTATTGTATAACTGGCAGTTTGTTTTAGCTTTTAATACTTTTGGCAGTTTTCATTTTTTTGTGCAGCGCCTCCATACGCATATCTTCCAAGTCCTCCTGAAAACCGAGTTTTTTGCTTATCAGCTCCTCGTGCTCTACCTGAGCAAAGCTTGATTCCATGCGTCTATCATCCAAGTCACGGTCGCGATACTTGCGCTTATCATAGCCAAATATGTTGCGTATGTAGGATGATATGTCCTCCTGGCATTCGCTGTCATCGATAAAATCATTCAAATCCGAGTCATAATCGGTTTCATCCTCGTTTGAATTTTGTTGCTTATTATCTACTTTCGGCTCGAGGGCAATTTTATTGAGGCTGCCGTCGGGATTGACCGCCCGCCTTGCAGCTGCTGCCTGCAGGAATGCAGATGTAACTGGAATTGAGGATACAACTGGAGCGGTTTGGTTGTTGCCGTTTGTTGGATTCTTGCTTAACGGCTTTATTCTTCCGCTGATTTTTGAGCATGTAGCCATACCTTCAGAATTATTCGATTCTGCTGCAATTGAGCTCGAGGGCTGACCGGCTCCTAACGGCTTTTTCGATCCCTTGGACTCAAGTTCTGTCTGGCGTTTACGTTCACGCTGACGCTGGGCTCGCTCCTCCAGCTCGAGTTTTTCCTTTGCTGTCAGCAAACGACTGGATGGCCGTTTCCTTGGAGGTGTGGCGATTTTAATTGGCTCGTGCTGTTTTTTCTCGGCAAGTTTGAGCAGAGCTTGAAAGTCTATGGGCGCTGGTTGTGGAGCTCGTTTATTTTTGGGCTTCGGTTGCGCCTCCTTGCGTAACTTGCGCTCCTCTTTTGGATCATAGATCGTTTTGGAAGTGATATAGGCACCTGCCCTACTAGCCTCCTTGGCTGGCTTACTCCAGGCGGGCTTGGATTTACCCGACTTCGCGTGGGCAGCGCGCAGAATTGGTAGTTGATGTGGCGCAGGTGTCTTTTCCATATATTTACTGTATAGGTCATCTGTCTCTGGCGAAACGAAACCGCAGTCATTGAAATTCGGATCATCAGGCCCGCCCAATTGGTCACCACTTTTAAAATCCTTTGCCACCGATTTGCTGGTCGATTTTGTAACTTTTAACATTTTCGGTTTGATATATTTTTTAGGTCGAAGTGTTAAGGCTATTCAATATGACGTTTTGACATATAAGAATATGTTCAGGTATTAGGTTTTGACATATTTAGTCTGACTAGTTTTATGTGTATGTTGATGTGATTTGAAGATAGGTTTTTTATGGGCTCTGCAGAATTTAATTGGATATTATACCTTAGTCTATGCGTTAGTTCCGATATGAGGGCAACACATTATATGTTGGTAAGGGCTTAGAGGCTGGAAGTGCAATTATAAGTACTCAGCACACTCCATTGTGGTGATTGTTTTCAAATAAAGCAAGGAGGAGGTTCTAGTCGGGAGCTCCCGACTAGGGGATACCCTGAACCCTCTTCTTCCAACATCAAATGTATATATATATTCTATTTTAGAAGCTATATGTCAAGTTTGGTAACTCTAGCTCTTATTATTTACCAAAATTGCCCAAAAAAACAGGATATCGACAGGATATTTTATCGATTGCTTGAAAACGGAGTAAGTTATCGATTATCGGAAACAAACTCGATCTGCGCGGGAACTAGGAGCATCTACATCTAAGATTTCAAGTAGTATAGCTCTTATAGGTTCTGAGATCCTTGCGTTCATACATACGGACTACCGGACGGACGGACAGACAGACGGACATGGCTAGATCGACTCAGCTATTTATGCTGATCAAGAATATATATACTTTATGGGGTCGGAGTTGCTTACTTTGGACATGAATTTCGACCAAAAAATCGGTGTCGAGATTTGAACGCCACATTAATCTAGACGGAAAACCACGAAGAAAAAGCCAAACTTCGTGAAAATCGGATGAGATTTGACCGAGTTATGGGGATGGTAATTTTTGACCCATGTCTATATACGAATCTTGGGGTAAGATTTGGACATGAATTTCGACCAAAAAATCGGTGTCGAGATTAAAATGTCACATTAATGTAGAGGGAAAACCATGAAGAAAAAGCCAAACTTTGGGAAAATCGGATGAGATTTGGCCGAGTTATGGGGGTGGTAAATTTTGGCCCATGCCTATATACGAATCTTGGGGTAAGATTTGGACATGAATTTCGACTAAAAAATCGCTTTTCAGATTTGAATGCCAGATTAATCTAGAGGGAAAACCATGAAGAAAAAGCCAAACTTCGTGAAAATCGGATGAGATTTGACCGAGTTATGGGGGTGGTAATTTTTTACTCATGTCTAGGTACGAATCTTGAGGTAAGATTTGGACATGAATTTCGACTAAAAAATCGGTGTCGAGATTAAAATGCCACATTAATGTAGAGGGAAAACCATGAAGAAAAAGCCAAACTTTGTGAAAATCGGATGAGATTTGACCGAGTTATGGGGGTGGTAATTTTTTACCCATGTCTAGGTACGAATCTTGGGGTAAGATTTGGACATGAATTTCGACCAAAAAATCAGTGTCGAGATTTGAATGCCACATTAATCTAGACGGAAAACCATGAAGAAAAAGCCAAACTTCGTGAAAATCGGATGAGAATTGACCGAGTTATGGGGGTGGTAATTTTTGACCCATGCCTGTATACGAATCTTGGGGTAAGATTTGGACATGAATTTCGACCAAAAAATCGGTGTCGAGATTAAAATGTCACATTAATGTAGAGGGAAAACCATGAAGAAAAAGCCAAACTTTGGGAAAATCGGATGAGATTTGGCCGAGTTATGGGGGTGGTAAATTTTGGCCCATGTCTATATACGAATCTTGGGGTAAGATTTGGACATGAATTTCGACCAAAAAATCGGTGTCGAGATTTGAACGCCACATTAATCTAGACGGAAAACCATGAAGAAAAAGCCAAACTTTGTGAAAATCGGATGAGATTTGACCGAGTTATGGGGGTGGTAATTTTTTACCCATGTCTAGGTACGAATCTTGGGGTAAGATTTGGACATGAATTTCGACCAAAAAATCAGTGTCGAGATTTGAATGCCACATTAATCTAGACGGAAAACCATGAAGAAAAAGCCAAACTTCGTGAAAATCGGATGAGAATTGACCGAGTTATGGGGGTGGTAATTTTTGACCCATGCCTGTATACGAATCTTGGGGTAAGATTTGGACATGAATTTCGACCAAAAAATCGGTGTCGAGATTAAAATGTCACATTAATGTAGAGGGAAAACCATGAAGAAAAAGCCAAACTTTGGGAAAATCGGATGAGATTTGGCCGAGTTATGGGGGTGGTAAATTTTGGCCCATGTCTATATACGAATCTTGGGGTAAGATTTGGACATGAATTTCGACCAAAAAATCAGTGTCGAGATTTGAATGCCACATTAATATAGAGGGAAAACCATGAAGAAAAAGCCAAACTTCGTGAAAATCGGATGAGATTTGACCGAGTTATGGGGGTGGTAATTTTTTACCCATGTCTGTATACGAATCTTGGGGTAAGATTTGGACATGAATTTCGACCAAAAAATCGGTGTCGAGATTAAAATGCCACATTAATATAGAGGGAAAACCATGAAGAAAAAGCCAACCTTTGTGAAAATCGGATGAGATATGGCCGAGATATGGGGGTGGTAAATGTTGACCCATGTCTATATACGAATCTTGGGGTAAGATTTGGACATGAATTTCGACCAAAAAATCGGTGTCGAGATTTGAATGCCACATCAATCTAGGCGGAAAACCATGAAGAAAAAGCCAAATTTCGTGAAAATCGGATGAGATTTGGCCGAGTTATGGGGGTGGTAAATTTTGGCCCATGTCTATATACGAATCTTGGGGTAAGATTTGGACATGAATTTCGACCAAAAAATCGGTGTCGGGATTTGAACGCCACATTAATCTAGACGGAAAACCATGAAGAAAAAGCCAAACTTCGTGAAAAACGGATGAGATTTGGCCGAGTTATGGGGGTGGTAATTTTTTACCCATGTCTGTATACGAATCTTGGGGTAAGATTTGGACATGAATTTCGACCAAAAAATCGGTGTCGAGATTAAAATGCCACATTAATGTAGAGGGAAAACCATGAAGAAAAAGCCAAACTTTGTGAAAATCGGATGAGATATGGCCGAGATATGGGGGTGGTAAATGTTACGAATCTTGGGGTAAGATTTGGACATGAATTTCGACCAAAAAATCGGTGTCGGGATTTGAACGCCACATTAATCTAGACGGAAAACCATGAAGAAAAATCCAAACTTCGTGAAAATCGGATGAGATTTGGCCGAGTTATGGGGGTGGTAATTTTTTACCCATGTCTGTATACGAATCTTGGGGTAAGATTTGGACATGAATTTCGACCAAAAAATCGGTGTCGAGATTAAAATGCCACATTAATGTAGAGGGAAAACCATGAAGAAAAAGCCAACCTTTGTGAAAATCGGATGAGATATGGCCGAGATATGGGGGTGGTAAATGTTGACCCATGTCTATATACGAATCTTGGGGTAAGATTTGGACATGAATTTCGACCAAAAAATCGGTGTCGAGATTTGAATGCCACATTAATCTAGGCGGAAAACCATGAAGAAAAAGCCAAACTTCGTGAAAATCGGATGAGAATCGACCGAGTTATGGGGGTGGTAATTTTTTACTCATGTCTAGGTACGAATCTTGAGGTAAGATTTGGACATGAATTTCGACTAAAAAATCGGTGTCGAGATTAAAATGCCACATTAATGTAGAGGGAAAACCATGAAGAAAAAGCCAAACTTTGTGAAAATCGGATGAGATTTGACCGAGTTATGGGGGTGGTAATTTTTTACCCATGTCTAGGTACGAATCTTGGGGTAAGATTTGGACATGAATTTCGACTAAAAAATCGCTGTTCAGATTTGAATGCCACAT